CCTTAATTGGGGTTATAAGTATAGCACGTGCAAGGTTTGGCATTACCGACGGAGCTACGGGGCCAGATGCTTCCGTACTCGCCTCGGAGACCGGATGCTGCAATCCAGTCCTTGGAGAAGGCTTTGGTTTAGGGTTGGGGATTTAGGGTTTAGGGTTTGGGGTTTAGGGTTTCGGATTTTGGGTTTAGGGTTTGGGGTTTAGGGGTTAGGTTTAGGGTTTAGGGCAAGCGACCTTTGTTTTTGGCATTCCGCGGTGCAGCAGCGTAGCCAAACTGGGCAAACACGGGGTCACTCGGTTCGCATGGTTGTTGCTTGGAGTTCGAGTCGGGTCGTTCCGGTAGCGAGCTCAAAGCCTTAGCACGCCCAAGGTGGAACGACCCAAAGACTGCTTCACTATAGAACGCTCGGAGACATCAGCACCCTTGTCGGGGTTATCCTACTTCTATGCGAAACGATATGACCCCACGGTCCTTCAAGCGGAATGTGTGGATCAGAGTCAGGGTGTTAGGCGGCGGGGGGCAAGGGTAGGTGCAAGTGCAACACAGTGTTCAGAGTTTGGGGGATGAAGCCTGAACCCTGAGGCAGAAACCCAGACGCTGGCCCCTCAACCACAATGGCCAACCCCGCGCTCATTATGAAAGCTAAACCCTAAAACCTCAGGCCAAGAGACGGATCCTAAACCGCGAAACCCCTAAACCCTAAACCTCTACGAAAACCTGTAACACCGATAAACCCTACAGACCCTATGAGGCCTATAAGCCCTATGAACCCTATTAACCCTATATGCCCTAAACCCCTGAAGCCCCCCTTGCCAAGTTTCGAGCTTACGGAAATCTAAAGCCTTAAAGCCTGGGAGGTAAAACCCTCAACTTTCATGCCGGGATCCTTGCCTTGCAATTAAGCTTACTGAAAGCTTTTTAAACTTAAAGTCCAGCAGAGATCTCGCCTTGCAACCAATCCAAAACTCGCAAAATAACGCTACAAACCCCAAATCCCTGCATTCTTGCAATCCTAAACCTACAGATAAAGACCCCTACATAAAACCATAAGTACTACCTAAACTCCCCAATGGCGGTTTCGGAGCCCCCTGTGAAGCCGGGAGGGATGGCGCCTTAGGCATGGCCCTGTCCCCACAAGTGCCGCTCACTCACTCACTCACTCACTCACTCACTCACTCACTCACTCAATAACCCAGCGCATGCACATGCTTCTTTCTGGGTCCGGGTGAGCCCGAAACCTTAAACTCCTAAACCGTAGACCCCTTAACGCTTATAGATCCGTATAAAATTCGGACCTTCAAATCTCGGATTGCAGGCCTACGTCTCCGAAGCCTATCGAGTGCTGAAGCCCGGTGGAGCGCCACCGCCACACTTGTTGCAGGGTCCCAGCATGTAGGGTTTACGGTATTTTAAAGGTCGCGATTTCGGGTTTACTGTACGAACAATGAACTTAATTGCGGAATCTGTTGTAGAGTTCGAGGTCAGTTTGAATAGAAGTGTAAGCTAGTATCTTGTGCAGTACGCGATCATGCGGCACTTGAACACCTATCCCTATAAAGGGACCCCTAAACAGGTACCCTAATTAATTTATTAATTAGATAAATAAATTTAGAGAACTACCCACGTGCATACATCCTAAATCTCAGATCTTAAACCCCAAAACCGCGACCACGCACATATAACCTAATTAAGCCTCAGATCTGAACCCCAAAAACCGTGACCAAAGATGTACACTTCGGAATCCTCCAACACTCTGAGATCAAGGCCCAAACTCCAAAAGACCACAGAAACGGTTTCGGGTTTTGGGATAAGCATGGGCAATTCACCCACAAGAACACTTCCAAAGGCCTTTCCGTGGCTGTTTTCTTGTTGAGGAACTTAATTTGGGTTACCATAATAGGGATCAAGGAAACATAGTTGATTCAGGAGGTTTCCCTATGTTGGTAACATAAGTTCCATAACAAGAACCCTTAAACCCTAAACCCTAAACCCTAAACCTTCACCCCTAAGCCCTAAACCCTAAACCTTAAACCCCTAAACCCAGTACCTGTGCTGACCTCTGACAGCTCTTCCTGGTCGTCTCGCACTCCGGGCCCTCCTGCAGACTGCACCACTTGGTGCAGGCCAGGCCTGCGCGGCTGTTTTTGGGTTTAGAAGTGTAGGGGTTTACTTAAAGGATCATGGGACTTAGTAAGTAGGGTTTAATTAGGGTAACTATGCTTACAACCCCCCATTAAGGGACTTATAACCTTACTTACTAAGTCCCATGATCCTCCAAGTAGGGCTTAGGGGTTTAGGGTTTATTGAAGTTGACCTCGTGGAAGTAGGGGTCGGGAGCTTGGGAGCAGTTGGGAGCTGAGTTGTTAGTTAGAAGAGAGGGTGGATGGAGAGTCTAGGTTTCTAGGGTTCTAGGGTCAGGGGTTTAGGAGGGGTCTAGGTTTTCAGGGTTCTAGGGTTTAGGGTGTAGAGTCTGGAGTCTAGGAGGGGTCTACGTCTTCAGGGTTCCAGGGTTCTAGGGTTCTAGGGTTTAGGGTTGAGGGTCTGGGTTTAGGAGGGGTCCAGGTTTTCAGGGTTCTAGAAGGGTTTGCTAATGCTGTAAGGGGTACTGTGGGGGTTTAGTACAGGGGCTTACTTAAAAGATCATCGGACTTGGTAAGTAGGGTTAGAACTAAGGTCACTATACTTATGACCCCAATCAGGGGACTTATAGCCTTACTTACTACCCATGATCCTCCAAGTAGAGATCATGATTTGGCAGGGTGAGGTGTTACCGGGCTGCGGAGAACAAGCAGGTGTTTTGCGGTTTAGGCTCTGGGGGTGCAGTGTTCATGTCCTAGGTTTCTAAAGTTCTCAGAGGGTAGGGTTTAGGGTTTAGGGTTACGGGTGCCAGAAGGTTTCGGTGCCAGGTTGTAGGGTTGCGGGTGTCTGAGGAAAAGTTTCCGTTTCTGTCCGAACAAAGCAAGAGCACTGGATGAGTGCGAAGAATTCAAGCCATACCCATCCACTCGGTTATTGACACTTCAGTCGAACTTCTCACTTCATCAATTTCGAAAAACGAGGTTCTCCGGTAATTAGACATGAACCCAAATGCGGTTTATTAATAATTTGTGGTTCATATCCCACGTAGGGTTTGTGATATATTTATTCAAAATTTACAGGGCCATACTGTTGAATGATACTTTGGCACTCATGTTATGCCGCCGTTCTTTCTGTACTTTAGGGTCATGAGAGTTCAGAGATAAGAAAGGGTGGTGCCCTTATTATGAAGGGGATGTTGGGGAACCTAGAAACACAAGCCCTGACCCAACCTCAAAAACGAAATCCCTGATCCCTCCAATCCTAGCACCGCTTGCACCCAACGTTAGCAGGACCCGCTGCGAAACTGGCAGATACAGGCAGCGCGTTGTTTTTTGAGGGAGTTCGGATGCCGGGCGTTTTGGCTCCATGATTTCTGGAACCCCAAAGGCATCCTAACGTAGGGGCCTGAATAAGTACCTACACTATTTTGGGGCTCCTTATTATAACTGTAGTATAACGGGCCCCCAAACCCTATTCCAATTATTAAGGTCCCTATATTAAACCATATTCCCTTTTATGATTTTCTGGCCCCAAACCCTCATGCAAGCTTAAGCCTTCGCCTTAAACCCGAAAGCCCTAAAGGCCCTGACACTAGGTTTCAGAGCCAGGCCTTATACATGAAAGCCATCAACACCCTAAACCCTAAACCCTGGTTAAACCCTAAACCCCTAAACCCCTAAACCCTAAACCCTAAACCCTAAACCCTAAACCCTAACCCTACACCCTAAAACCCCTAAACCCAAACCCCAAAGCCCAGCCTTAACCGGCCTTACGGCCATACCCCTTAGGATCCAAGCCCACGTCCAACCTGTGATTGTAAAGAACCTTAAGGACTTTCACGGTTCCGGGGTTTAGGGGTTAGGGGTGTAGGGTTAAGGGGTTTAGGGTTTAGGGTTTAGGGGTTTGGGGTGTGTGGTTTAGGGTTTAGGGGTCTAGGGTTTAGGGGTTTAGGGTTTAGGGGATCTTCCAAGAAAACGAGGGTATGGCTGACCCAGGAGCTTGGCAATACCCGAACCCTAGACACTGAGACAAGGCCCTGAACCCTCTAACTGGGAAGTGAGGGTTCAGTATAGGGACTATCCCACTTGGACAAGGGTTTTGGCAGATTATATATAACCTTCATTATTGTACATTGTTTATGCAGGAATTCTGAGGGACGAACTGTTTTCCTGGGCTTCTCTTCGCTGTTCGTGTTGATGCCATCAGTTCGATGGTACATGAAGAGAAGACAGTGCCTAAGCCAGGGGCAGGGATGTAAGACGTCGCAGAGTTCCACCTCGAGTCGGCGGCAAAGTGCGGTGAGTGAAGGCGAAAGTATCTGTGGAGTCGTAGGGGATGCAGCGTTCGTAGCGGCCGACATGCCGTCCCTTCTCCCACGAGGTAGTAATGGTGTTAGGCATTGTGCCACCTGAACCACTTGTGAAGTTTGTTCAACAATGTGGGTTGCGGTCGAACTTCGGTCAAAGTGATTGCCTTCCTGTTTAATTTGCGGTCGCGAGACTCCCTTACTAGTTCTTGTTGGTACAACATACAATGCAGACTAGACGATTCCAATACGGAACCAGTGAACATAGTACGAAAGAGATGTCATTCTGTACTAGCTCGTCTTCGCAATTATGCTTCATTGCCCTTTGGGTGGTTCTCTAAATTAGGGTCCCTTTTAGGGAGGGTCCTTGTTATATCATAATGCCGTACTATGTTGAGGGCCCAAAAAAGGGACCCTAATTTAGTGGACTACCCATACACAGTCTTGGAACGCCGTGACTCGCAAACAGGGTATGCTGCTCATCATGCATGACCCGACGGGCGATTTCTCTAGAAAAGCCCTTCTTCTGATCGTCAAGAACAGGTTGACTTCACCGAGACTGGTAGTTAGTAAAGTATCACGTAAACCCCAAGCCCCAAACCCCAAACTTGAGACCCTAACCTCCTGTGGGTAGTTTTCTAAATTAGGGTCCCTTTTTTAGGCCCCCAATATAGCACGGCACCCTTATAGAAAGGGTCTCAAAAGGGAAACTAGTTTAGAGAACTACCCACGTGCGCGTTCTGCGAGGGGCATTCGGAAGAGCCTGCAATCGACTTCTGCCATTTCGGAAGCCGCCAGCCCCAAACCTGCAACAGGGTTTAGGGTTTGGGGGTTTAGGGTTTAGGGTTTAGGGCTTAGGGTTTAGGTTTTAGGGTTTAGGGTTTAGGGTTTAGCGGTTTAGCGGTTTAGCGGTTTAGGGCTTAGGGTTTAAGGCACTCACCCCACCGTAAGCCCTAAACAAACTTATCAAGCTCCTAGACAGATGATATCAGACTCAGCAGAAACCTTGAAACCCAAACAGATGATGCACAATTCCGACAAGAACCCTAAACCTTCAGAACATGTTATCAACTCCCACGAAAACTCCAAGCCTAAAGCTAAAACCCCCAAATGCCCTCAACTCCCCAAGCATAACCAGAAGCTCTACTCAAGTCACATCAAATCCCCACGAAAAATCCCTAAATCCCTCAACCCCTAAACCTCTGAACCCCTAAACGCTAAACCCCTAAACCCTAAACCCCTAAACCGTAAAACGCCACGAACAATTCCCCGCAAGCAGGTGGCCCGGCTACCTGTGAAGCCTGCAAGTCAGTGCCTTGAGAGTCCAAGTGCCCAATGCCCAATAGTCGGGGCTCCCTTTAAAGGGGCTTAGGGGTTTGGGTTTATAAACCTTCCCTTTAAAGGAACCCTTAAAGGGTCCTTAAAAGGTTCCCTTTAAGGGAACCCTTAAAGGAATCCTTAACGGAATCCTCAAAAGGAGCAATTAACAGAATCCTTAAAGGACCCCAAAAGGGGGTTAGGGGTTCCTTTAAGGGCTCCCTTCGGGTTTGGGCTTTTGGGGTTTAGGGTGTTGGGCTTGGGTTTTGTTGGGTCTGGGGTTGAGGTTTTTAGGGCTTAGGATTAGGGTTGAAGGCTAGGGTATAGGATTTAGGCCTGTTGGAGGTTTTGATCAGGAGGTAAGGCAGGGGTGTAGAGATTTTTGAGTGTGGTCTTCTGGGTTATGAGTGTTGGCAACTTGGGGTTTCAGGTTAACCAAGGGGTCCAAGTACACAATGTGTGTCTCAGACTCATGACACTCCTAAACCCTAAACTCTAGACCGTGAATTGCGGGTTTTGGGCAGGCAGTTTGTGCTCGAGGGCTCCGGAGAAGTCGATGATGAATCAACTTTTACAGGCAATAGCGAACTCCAAAGACCATCTTCCGGAGAGAAATCCGTGCCATTGTCGATCAGCAGACCACCAATGACACCCAAGACCGAGCGAAGGTCTTGCACCGTGCCGCTATGGCACACTGCAGAAGGTTCGCAGCGCGTGTTCGACGTATCTTGCTACGTGGGGACACTACATTGGCCAGCTGACGAGTCTCCTTCAGCAGCAGATACAGCAGCAAGTCTTATCGCCTGGATGGCTTCGATTCGCAGACGGAACAGGGGACCGAGAAGTTCCGCGAGGCCATCGGGAGGCTCTCCAAGCTCAAGGCCGAATAGTTTAGGGTTTGGAGTTTAGGCTGTTGGGTTTAAAATTTAGGGTTTTGGGCGTTCCTCTCCTGGTATTATTTTCTTTGTGATGACGTTTGGCTTTTCCCTTCTGTTCCACTACCGTTTCGGTTTCCGTTTGTCGAAACCAGAGACGGGAAGCCGACAGGGAGCAAAAACTGAAACAGAATCCAGAATGGAAATTCATGCTGATTTTGCGCAGTATACCATATTATCATAGAATATGATGGTGTACTTAGTATAATAGAGTATGATCGTATACTTAGTATATGAGAGTATACCATCGTGAATTATAGGTTATAGCATTGATTTCTGCACCTTCACCAGGCCCAGCCGCCGAGCTCGAAGAGGGCGCGGGCACGGAGGCAGCGTTTCAGCTGTTGTTGTGTTAGTGGTTTTAACTGTTCAGGAAGATGTGGATTCCTACCGCGCGTGTTTTGGGCGTTATAATTATATGCATAGGCTCCATTATAGTGTCTGTTTGTGATTTATATTTCGGATCCTATAATTATAAGATAATTCTTAAAAGGAACTACTTTGGAGTCCATCGCTATGTTATGAATCCCAGGAGCAGAAGCAGCAGCCTACAAACAGATTCTGCGGCTGGTGAACGCAAGATTCTATGGGGCTTCGGAGCGTAGAGTTGAGAGTCTATAGGTGAACACAAGTATGAGGCAGACTATATGGGCTGCTATTGAGGTTTCTGTAAGGTTACTAGAAGGGATGACTAAGGGTTTAGGGTTTGGGGTTAACGGTTTATAACAGATAAGGGACAAGGGTTGCAAGGTTTCTATACAGGCGTTCCATAAGCTTAAACCAGCCCCCAAATTTGCCTCAGAATGATTCTCACAAGGCCTTCACGAATGCATATAATATAGGGGCCTCAATAATTATCTATATCACTTTGGATGTCAAATCTTTAAGGCCCCCGTAATAATCATCTCATCGTGAAGTGTGCACCAACCCTATAAGTGCTGTCTCCTTGACCCTGGTAGCTTATCAACTCCTAAACCCTAGAACCGCACAGCCGTGTTCCGCATGCTTGCGAATGCAAAATGCCCGGCTATGCGAAATGTCTAGTCAGCATTCGCCTTTACCTGTCCCTCCTGAGGTGCTGTTATAAGAGCCCCTTTTAAGTGTCCGACTACAGGGGTTCCTGCAAGCGTTCTACGTTCAGGCTTGCAAGAAGGGGTCTGCAAAAAGTTTTAAGGCTCCTCTCAAGGGTACTATTCATTGGTGCCAGAGTTGATACTCATATGGGTAGCTCTCTAAACTAGGGTCCCTGTTTAGCCCCCCAATATAGTACGGCACCCTTATAGAAAGGACCCGAAAAGGGGCCCTAGTTCAGAGCACTGCCCATGTATGGCTCCTGAGGGCGAAGGTATGCGAGGTGAAGCAACTGGTGAGCGAAGGGATGCAATCTAGGTTGCCCATAGACCCGATGAGCCCTGTAAGTACCCTAAACCACAAACCCTGAACCCTAAACCCTAAACCCTAAACCCTAAACCCCAAACCCTAAACCCTAAACCCTAAACCCCATCCCAGCAAGATATCCTGTGCTCTCAACAGCAGTCCTGACATGCACAGGCTGGAGCTTCAGACACCCTCCCTAAACCACTCGAAACCCCAATTAACATCCCTAGTCCCACTTAGAAAACCCCAACTCCGACGAAGTCCCAGACCGGAAGCCGCAGCCCCTCCCCACCCCCCCCAAAAAAAAAACAAAATCGACTCCCTCAGCTCTGAATGGCTTGAACCCTGAAGGGTTTAGGGCCCAGAACCCTAACAGGGTTTAGGGTCAAGGACTTCAAACCCGAAAAGGGTTTAGGGTTTAGGACTTCAAACCCCAAACCCTAAAAGGGTTTAGGGTTCCGGGCACTAAACCCTAAAAGGGTTTAGGGCCCAGAAACCTCAAAGGGTTTAGGGTCTAGGGCTTAGGGCCTAGAGCCCGAAACCCTAAACCCCCTTAAACCCTAAAAGCCGACCCTAAAAACCGAACCTCACAGGAAGCGCCGCCCGAAGATGCCAGGCTCAAGATAAGACTTGGGAGCAGTGGAGTGTCGAATGGGATCTCGGGTTTTAGGGTTTGGGGTTCAAGGTTTAGGGCTTTAAGGTTTTAGGGTTTGGGGTTTTGGGGGTATTAGGGTTTAGGGTTTAGGGTTTCAGAGCTTACGACCTGTGAGCAGTACCTGGGAATCTAATTACCTACAGCGTCATAGGTTCTACCTACTAATTAAGGGGTAATGGCTGCTAAACTGTAGGTAAAGAGAGTTACAGGTAGAGTTTCGAATGGAGTCTTGGGTTTAGAGTTTAGGGCTTAGAGTTTAGGGTTACACAGTGTTTAGGTATAGGGCTTTGGGTTTAGGGTTTGAATCTTAGAGATGATATTTTGGTGTGTATAGCTTAGTTTTGAAGGCTTGGGGTTAGAGAGAAATCGAGGAGCGACTAGTGTGTTATTTTCTTGAGGCTCGGAGAAGGAATATGATATGTCACTATCAGGTTTTGCGTGGTCGACGCCGGGATTTGAGGACTCCATAGCACTATATTTTGACTTGCGCGCTTTGTCGATTTGGTTGAAGGGCTGGCTGGGCTAGCCCGAAAGTCTTGATTCCCTGTCCTACAAGAACATGTGGCCCAACGCTTCCCCAGATGCTGCAAAATGAAGGATCCTCAGCAGAAGCCCCATTGTTAAATGGCCGCCCCTGCCTCAGCACTTAGAACCCGAATGAAACCCTAAACCCTAAACCCCATACGTCTGAAGAATTAGTCGTACTGTCCCCGGGAACATATTCCGGGCCCCTAGGACCCAAGACACCACTTCAACAACTCAAGTACTCTTGCCCAGAGAAAGCTGCCCATGGACGACATCCTTCATTACCAGGAGTATCCTAAACGGCAAGAGCTATGTTATTTTCCTAGGCTCCAATGCCCAAAGCTCCCTAAACCCTAAATCCCAAACCCAAAGCCCTCCGCCGTTGCCCGTAGTATGGACCAGTGTTTAGGATAGGAGTCTTGTAAGTTACTGCCTTGGGAGAGGAACCTTTACAGAACCGCTATAGAACCCTCACGGATTCTCTGTGGATCCTTAGGGTTTAGGGTTAAGGCGTTAGAACCTGAACAACCCTAAACCCTAGACCCTAAACCCTAAATAACTCAGCACGAAACCCAAACCCTAGCCAATGCAACGTGCCGAAGTCTTTTGTTGAGAAGCCCCAGGACGATGCGTTGAGGTGACTATCAACGGCAGACATGGCCCTTGATACGGAAAAAGGCACGTTGTCAATTCGCAGACGCGTGCCAGAAGCAGATTCTGCAAGTCCGGCTTCATCGTGTGAAGCCGTAGCCTGTCTGCTTGCGTCTCTCTCACACCACTAGCTTGCAGTAATGTCTGAGTTTAAGGCCCAGTGTACGAGTAGGGCTTCAGGTTTACGGTTCGCAGGGGACCTTGCTTGGGCTACTGCAAAACCTTGGTACCAGCCATGCCTGATCCGGTCGGTAGCTCGAGCGCCCGCCGCCAAGAAGTGGTTTGGCGTCAGGCGATCGCTCAACAAAGCCATGGCTGGCTAACCAGCTCTTTGACCGACTGGTGGGATGTACCACAGCATCTGTGGCTCACACTTCTGGCGCAGTGTTTGAGTCTGCGATGCAAGCAAGATGGTCACTGTCGTTCCAGAGATCTGTGCTTGGCCTCGCAGGTGGAGATGGCCTTAATGGTTAGAACAGGGTTTTGGAGTAGATGATACTATAGTCATCATAAGAAACCACCCAAAGGAATATAGGTAATGATTAAAGCCCCGTTTTGGGGGCCCAGTATACTATATCTATAATAAGGACCCCCCCAAAACGGCGTCTGTTAAGATGTCTCACTTCTTTGAGGTGCTTTACCCTGGTGTGCATTTCCAGCAACTGTACGTCGCCCGTTACAGTGCAGCGCTGGGCACTGAATTGCTGGCCCTAAACCCTAAACCCTAAACCCTAAAACGCTGCGTAAGCAACAAGCCTAAAGCTTGAATCCCGAAAGCCTGAACCGTAGACCCCTGAACCCTAAACATCCCTAAACCGTAAACCAGGGTTTAGGGTTTAGGCCCACAAACGCTGAAACCCTCTCCCACAGCCCTGCGCAGTCGCTGCTTCTGGATCTTCGCATGTACGAAGCCCGGAGGCTGCGCCGAGGAGGACCCTCAGCGTTGAGGCATTGTGATTTACTTGTAGGGTTTTTGCTTGAACCTCAAAAATCCGACCCCTAAACCCTAAACCCTAAACCCTAAACCCCCATGTGGAAATCATATGAAGGAGCCCTGTCAGGGTACCGTAGGTTTCTCAGGGTCCAGGTGGGGTTTAGGTTACAGGGGCTCCAGGTTCAGGGTACAGGTTTTGCGATGTAGGGTGCTTTGGGGTGTCTTGAGATGTTCCGACAAGGATGCTAGGAAGAGTTGATAATGGTACTCCCTGCTTATGGTCTTTCTATACATTTATGATATAGTAACCCTAAACCCTAAACCCTAAACCCAAGTATACTCCAAAACCCTTGTAGCGATTCTAAATCGGTGCACCTGTCACTCTGCTTCTCCTTGCTCGCCCCGACGTTCCGTCGGCTCACTCTAAAACCCTAAAACCTACTTGAAGGATCATGGGACTTGGTAAGTAGGGTTATAATTAGGGTAACCATACTTATAACCCCAATTAGGGGACTTATAACCTTACTTACTAAGTCCCATGATCCTCCAAGTAAACCCTAAACCTCAAATTGTTAAGGCGTTATAGGAGGATCCTAAGGATTATCGGCTTCGGGGTGAGCCAGCCATTGCCGTGTTTCAAGCTCACTTACTGCCTCCCCTGATCTTTATGCTTTGCATGCCCTGAATGCACTTGCCTCTTCATGCGCCTGGCCCGTCCATATAGCTCCATACCAAAAGCAAGTTACAAATCCCCCCCACAAACTCTAAACCTGAATCCTAAACCCTAAACCCTAAGATATACTAGAACCCAGGCACTCCAGAACCGCTTATTGAAATCTGTCCTGCCGGCTTGAGTCAAGGGCTCATTGGAGAAGGCTTAACCACTAAGCTTCATCATGCTACCGGGTTTAGGGTTTAGGGTTTAACTCCTAATTTATTATTTAGGCCCCGATATTACCGGCTTTAACTTTAACGCCTCACAAATCCGAAAGTACACTCGACGGTCCAAAGAGTGCCTTGTTATTGTTAGCTTATCAAATAACCCTTTCAATTCCCTTATCAACCGCTTCAAAGCACCCTCCATGAGGAGCCCTGCACAAAACCGAGCACTCTATACAACCCTTGCACACACCAAGAAGCCCTTGTGAGGCCTTCCAAGACCAAGCTAAATAATAGATACCTATATGATCTTAAAGCTATAAACCGGCAAGTCTTTTCAAACCCTTCGCCCTAAACCCTGAACCGAGAACACTAAACCCAAACCTTAAGCCCTAAACCCCAAGCCATAAACCCTAAACCCTTAAGCCAAACTCTGAAACCCCAAACCCTAATTCAAACCCCCAAGCACTAAACCCCAAACCCCTGGGGTCCCTAAGCCCTAAATCCTAAACTCTGAAACCCTAAACCCAAACCCAAACTCCTAAGCACTCGACCCTAAGAAACCCGGAAGTTGCCGGCTCGATGCCGAGCCCTTGGCGAGGATGCCGGCGATGCCGAGCCTGTCGCTGAGCCGCCGGAAGCCTTAGCCGAGGTACCTTGGGGTGGTTTGAGTTTGCAGGGTGTACGGGGTTTGGGGTTTAGGGCTCTTAGGGCTTATAGGTTTATAGGGTCCAAGTAGTCCTCGTTCAAAAAAGCCCCAAAGTCCTTCACTTAGGAGAACTTGGACACTTAGCTTGAGGGTTGAAGGGGTTTAGGGTTTAGGGTTTATAGGCTTTAGGGAAGGCTTCAGGATGTCTTGTAGGGCTTCAGGGTTTAAGCGTTTAGGGTTTCGGGTTTTCAGGCTTCAGGGTTTTCAGGGTTCAGGGGTGAGGGTTCAGGGGTTCGGGGTTTAGAGACTTTGCGGGTTTCGGTTTAGGGTTTAGGGGTTTAGGGTTTAGGGTTTAGGGGTTTAGGGGTTCAGGGTTTAGGGTTTAGGGTTCGGGGGTTGAAGGTTTCAAGGCCCTACAAGACTTAGTGTGATTTCCTGGTAGGTTATTTAGGATCCAGGTAGGTACTCTAGAATCTCGAAACAAACCCCGAACGATGGGCATGATGGCGTACCGGGTCTTTAATTGGGTTCCTATTTGGGTTTCTTTTTGGGACCCGCGGTTCTTCGTAAGGGGTCCTAGATGATTGTACCGCAGGCCGCAAAACCCGAAACCACAGACCATTCCACTGAAGCTCCATGTACCTATATAGTATACACATACTGGGAGGATCATGGGACTTAGTAAGTGAGGTTATAAGTTATTAGTCCCTTAATTGGGGTTATAAGTATATATAAGTGCAGTTACGTTAACTGTAACCCTATTTACTAAGTCCCATGATCCTGTAAGTACACTTTCAAGTACCTGTATATAGGAAGGCCTACTGTGCATGCTACATACTTTCATTATAAGCCCTTGAGCCCTAAACCCCAAAACCTTAAAATAGCTCCGTAAGGAATCCTTAAAGGGACCCTTGTAGGGCCTAATGGCCCTCCTAAACCCCAAACCCTAAACCCTAAACCCCTAAACCCTAAAGCCTAAAGCCCTAAACCCCTAAACCCTAAACCCCTAAACCCTAAACCCTCAAGAGCCGTATGAACATGAGGCCTTCTCGCTGTGTTTATCTTGAAAGGCCTCCGAAGCGACGCCGCCGCAGACCGCGGAGCATCGCCCCGGGTTCTTGTAGGGGATCGTTAGGGTTTAGGGTTTAAAGGTTTAGAGTTTATAGTTTAGGGTTTAGGGGTTTAGGGTTTAGGGTTCAGGGAGGGTTTGGGGCTATCTAGAATCTAGAACGTCGAGCTATTGAAGAAAGGCTGTACATGAACCCGTAGACGTGCGCGTCTGCACTTTCTGGAGGATCTCCTCGTTGAACCTGAAGCACAGCAAAGACCGGCACCCTTTGTTATTATGAGAAATGTTCGGATGCTGGAGGACAGTGGCATCCTGGTGGGAGGTTCTAGGTTTGTAATTAGATCCTTTAAGCAGTCGTTCTAGAGAAGCTTCCGCAAGGCGAGGGATTGGGGTGAGGGTTCTGGGTGTAGGTCATATTTGAGATCACAAATAAACCCTAGGTCTCTGAGCTTCCTTGAGGTTCTATTGTGGTAATTATAGTGGCTATGTGCAAGGCTTTAGGCTTCTGACAACGAACCCATACAGTCAGGCAGGCTTCCTAAGGGCTTGGGTTTCAAGTCCTTCCCTTTTCAAGCATCCCAAACACGCGACCGTGAGAAGACTTCATCTAAACTCTTGAAGTATATATGTAATTAATAGCGAGGAAAAGCTACTGCTGGTGCTTCCCTATGGGTTTATTTATGTCTTCAACCGAAGTAAAGCCCTAAACCCGCAACCCCAGAACCCCAAAGCGTCTGGTTCGGTCATTGGGAACCTCCGAAGTGCCGGGCTTCCAGAGAAGCGTGCCAAAGCTGCACGTCTCGGGATGGCTGGGTCCCTTTTCGGCAACGGCCTTTGGGATTGCAAGTCTCCTTTGATCATCTGACCATGCGCGAAAGATGATCATGCTTTCCATTCCTTTGCAGTGTACCTACTTACATCTATGTGGGTAGTTTCTCTAAATTAGGGTTGAGAATAGGTCCCCAACATAGTACGGCACGCTTATGGGAAGAAAAGACTAAACGGCACTCAAAAAAGAGGACCCTGAAAGGGACCCTAATCCAGAGAACTACCCGCTGTGCTGGACATGCAAGGGCACGGGTTTGCATGCCGGCGCTTCACCAGTTCGCTTCTTCCCCTAGTCTTCAGCTGCCCGCCTCTTGAGAACACGTCTCGGATTACAGCGTTTTGCCTCAAATTCGCGTCCCACCACCCCGTCCGTGCTTGGCGGCTCATGTTGCGTATCACGCTGCTGTCCGGGGAGGAGCTGACGAGCCTTCCTCTGGCGGAGCTGAGCGACGTGAAGGCCTTGAAGCAGCGACTGCATCAGCAGCACGGCCTGCCACCTCGCTTCCGGCAAAGGCTTCTTCATGATGGCAATCCTTTGGATGATGCCGTCCAGCTGGACACCGCGATGGATCTGCAGGCTGTGATAGTGCCTAGGTAGGCCCTTGGGACAGTTTTCTATTTCCCTTTGTCCCTAAGAGGACCCTTGTTTACGAATCTGTTTCGACGGCTTTAAATTCCCTAACCCTAAGCCCCAAACTCCTAAACCCCTAAACCCCAAACCCCAAACCCCAAACCCTTAACCCCTTAACCCCTAAACCCCTAAACCCTTAAACCCCAAACCCCAAACCCTAAACCCCCAAACCCTAAACCCCCAAACCCTAAACCCTAAAGGGCCCGCCTAGGTGTCGTTTCTCGAGGATCGGCCTGAGGGGCCAGAACTAGGCGAGGCGGCAGCTCTCGGCCGGGTAGACCAGGCCGGGCTGTTTAGGGTTTAGGGGTTTAGGGGTTTAAGGTTTAGGGTTTAGGGTTTAGGGTTTAGGGGTTTAGGTGTTTAGGGTTAAGGGTTTAGGGTTTAGGGGTTTAAGGTTTAGGGTTTAGGG